CCAGCACATGCCATAATGACATATAGTAAGTACCCAATACATATTTGTTAAATGAATACAGTATTTGCAAGGCTTTGGGGAATTATAGGTTCATTTCATATGAAATTGGTGGCTTTAAAAGAGAATATACTAACAGCAAAATATGCCTGCCTCTCAGACTCGGTAGCATTTCTATACCTTCAGAGAAAGCAGGTCAGAGAGAAGCAAGTTACAACTTGATAGCCCTCTGCCCTAAAATAGTCCTTGTATCTGTCTACCTGCAGTTAAAATGTGAAAACATGCCCTTGACCGGAAAAGTCCTTTTATTTGTCCTCCAGAAAAGGGAGGACAGAACAATACAAACACGGAAGGAGGCCCGAGTGCACCGAGACCAGCACGCGGATGTTCCAAGGGGCTCAGGCACCTCGGGCTGAGTTGAGCGAGGCTCACCCGCCACATCCCTCCAGCCAGGAAAGTGGGAGCCGAGTCTGTAGCTTGTGAACTTGGTTCCTTCTGCTAAACACCTGTGTCTTTCATTCTGGAATCAGCACCAGCTTGTCGCCATTGATGCTGCACCTCAAGTGAAGCATGCGATCGCAATGTGCCTCCTGGGCCACTTGGATTTCCTAACCAGAGCTGGTCCACAATGGGAACCGCCCTGGGCTGGTGTGGGCGCTGCCAGGAGAACCTTTCTCCAGGTACTTGCTGCAAGATGTTACACCCCACCCCCCTCTACTGGGGGTTTAAGGGGAGAGCCTGAGGGCAAAATCAGGCAGAGGAACCCAGGACAAGAGCTGGAGGAAGAGAGCTGGGCTCGGCCGGTCCACATTTCTGGCCTGTCCAACTAAAGCATAGTAACGAATGCATACATCTTACCCCCACCAAAGCCTTTCCACTTGATCTCCACGCCCAAGCAGAATCAAGCCATCAAATAAGCAAATTCCATAGCTGAGAGCTGCTGCTGCAAACATCCTGCTGCAGAGGCAGGTTCCACCTCTTCTGTAAACATTCGGGGGTCCAGATACAGCCCAGGAGGCCTGTGGACGCAGTTCCATCTGCAAGCCTGAGTTCTGTGTAGGCACAGTCCCGGGTCACTGCGAACTGGTCACGGTGAGGATACCGCTGTGTCCAGCTCAGCTATAGAAGGGCCTGGCTGCTTTGTTTCAACAATACAGGTTCTGTTAAATTTCTGATAAAATTACACTGCCTGTCCACAGTTTACATATAGTGACATCCTGTCAGAACCAACAAATAATGACGTAGCGATCCGCTGCAATTCCTGTTCTCAACATCAACCCGGGGCTCACCAGCTCCTAGACAGCCCCTAGAGTGTGCAGAGCCTGTCTGATCACAATGTTGCTGAGGTTTTGGAGACAGAGGTCATATTAAAGAAGCCCCTTCCATGTTGAACCACGGTAGGCATCTGGATGATCGTGAAAGTCTCAAGTCTCTTGAATCCAAAGCAAAGCAAATTCTCTATAAACATTTGAGTTTCCTCCTGACAGCGGGATGGCTGCCAGACCTCAAGCTAAGAAACTTAGATGTAAAGTTTTCTTTTAAAAGTACTTAACATAATTGAAAAATTTCATACTCAGGCACTGTTTAAATGAAGAAGAGTTTATAGAAGGCTGGGGAGAAAAATTTTACTTTGGAACCGCAAAAGCTCCCAATGAGCTTAGGATGTGGAAGTGGTTCACATACTGATCGGAGGCAATAAACTCAGGCTGGATCTGGGGGATACAGGGACATTAGGGTCCTTCTTAAAGGGCATTGCCACAAGGGTGAGGAGAAGGACTAGTCTCCAATCTGCCATCCACCAAGGTCTGGAATGGAGGCAAGGGACGCCAGTGTTCCCCAAACTTTTCTTCCATCAACAAGATCATTATCTTTCTCAATGGTTTCTCTAGGAAAAGTTTAGAAACAGTTTTTCAATTTTCCATTCATTATTAATCCTTAACATTTACATGAAATAGAGGTTAGTCACCAAATTGATAAAATCTTAACCAAATTCAAAGAAACAATAGTTAGAAATATTTCTAACTGATTAAACCTTAGCCAAAATAAAAGAGACCTCACCTATCTATGTAAGCTTTTACAAGTAAGTACCTTTAGCCCAGAACCTTTGCTGGCATGAGCACCTGCCGGTAACGTGGGCATTGTTTCTGAAACCACATCTGATGTTTACTCGGCCTTGGTTTAAGTACTTCCTTTGACTTAAGGAGACAAAGTTGTCAGTTCTAGAAATCAAAACCGGTCTCTCTGGCCAGATCGTTAACCTTCCTAATCCAAATTCTAACCCAAATGTTAAACAACACGAACCATTTGAATCCAAACATTTGTGGGGCCGGGGCTGCGTTTCTAGTTCCCTGACCCTAGGTGCAGCCAGAGGACAGAATCGGGAGTGATGAGAAGCATGACTTCCAGCCCAGGACACCTGGACCCTTTCCCTGCTGAAGCTTACAGGATCCTGGCTCGAAGCCGAAGACACATTCCACTCCAACCAGATCATTTGGTGTAAAAAACGGACAGTGTGCTTAGGTCTGAAACTGCACAGGGCTATGTCCTATCAAGGTGCATTTGCAAACAGGCGGGTGTGGGAGGACTCTGTGACCCCCACTAGCTTGTGTGACCCTACCAGCCTGGCTCTCAGACACCCTTCCCCTCTGACCTGCATCACTTTCCTTCCTTTGGAAACTCCATCCCCTTAATTCAAAACAGTAGAGTCTCCTGAGAATAAAGATCCCAAAATGGGATAAAAGCCTCAAATCATCAGTGGTTGAACATTGGATTTATGAACCAGGAGGTCACAGTGCCATTCCCTATAAGGACACATGCCCGGACTCCATCCCCACTGCCAGAGGGGTGGGGGGGGGGCGCGTCAGGAGGCAGCTGATCAATGATTCTCTCTCATCCTCTCTCATCATTGATGTTTCTATCACTCTCTCCCTCTTCCCTCCTCTCTGAAATCAGTAAAAACCTATTTTTTTAAAAATGTGGAATCACTCTTGATGAGCAAAGATTTTCCCCATTATTTTTTTCAATCTTACAAAAGATGAGGGGTAGTATTTACACACTGGACAGAAATTGTGTGTAAGTAGAACAGTAAGCCGAGCCACCAGGTCTCCTGAAACATGATAGACAGGGTAGAATTGTTCTGATTGTTGTAACCTCCAACACAGTGATCTGTGACACTCCCCGGCAGTCACCCACAGGTGTCCGGACAGGAAGCACATGGGAGGCCGATTCTTAGAGGCCCTGCCAGAGACTCCAACTACATCCCAACATGTGACCCCTCAGGCGGTGACCCCGCAATGGGGACCCAGAAATGACAGGTTTCCACCAGGAGGGTAAATCTCACTTCCTTATGCACAGGTACCGATTCAGAGCACTCACACCTGTGCCAATGAGGAAGCCCTGTCTGCCTCAGATCCTCAGGGTCCCAAGGGTGGTCCGTGGGGCTCTTTGGCTTTCAGAGACCTCAGACTGTGGGATGACGGCAGGCAGGATCAGGTGACAGCTGCAAGATGTCACTTCGGGGATCCCCACCAAGCACAGCCACCCCTCTTTCTGCCTCCTGCCCCCACAACTCAAGCATAGCCAAACTCAACCATCACCAATATCACCTATTCAAACAAAATAGAAGGAAAATGATGCAAATCCATGGTCTTTCAAATACTAGATATTTACAAATAACAATTTGGAATCGTTAAAATTAAAAACTTCGGAAGAACCTTTCTGTGAACTGCAAAGACTGGGAGTAGCCCTGAGTCCAAACCGCTGTGGGGCAGAGTCCTGCTGTCATCCCTAACTCCTGTCGGACGCAGAGGACCTCAGCGTCACCCCAACTTCTGCGGGTGAGCAGAGGATCTCCGCGTCAACAGATGCGCTACAGCGAGAACCCTGACAGCGTCTCCCATCAGCCAGCTCCCTCCAGCAAAGGGGAAGGAGTCGTACTTGACTCCGTACTCACTTGTGACCCGAGCCTGGTCCGGTCCGGGGCCCCTCGAGGCGGAGGCCCAGCCAGGAAGAGGAAGGCGCGCTCCCCGGCCCCGCCTCCGGCGCAGGGCGGGCCGGCGCACACCTGGGCAGGTACGCGGGGCTGGGACGGCTCTGCCCGGTGGCAGCCAGGGCAGGCTGTGCCAGGCTCTGTTCCCGATGGCCTCTAGGGCACCCCACCTTTTAGAACCGAGGCGACTTGGGTGGCGGTCCCTGTCCCGGAGCGGACGGTTGTGCACGGGGTTCGGACGGGGACACTGGGGGTCTCGGGGCCCAGAGGGGCCCCTGGTCGCGTGGGGATCCCGCTCACCCCAGATCGCGGGCCTCAGGTTCCGCCCGCGAGGCCCAGGTGAGGGGGGCGTTCACCTGAGCCGCTCAGGTCCCCGCCCCTCCTGTAAGGCTCTGCAGCCCACTCCCAGCCCCGCCTAGTGCCCGGGGTCCCGGCAGGCGCCCTCCCCACCCTCCCCACCCTTAGGTGCTCCCTCTGCAGAACCCTGACCCGAGCCCGCCCCACCCTGCTCTGTCCAGGTGACTCATGACCCGCCTGCCCCTCGGTCCCGCCCCTCCCTCAGGTTTCAGCCCCGCCCTCTCCTCCGCTCCTCCCCTAGACCGCGCCCACCAGGCTATAGCAGCGCCCATATCCGCCCCGCTAGAGGCCCCACCCACCAGGCTGTAGCACCGCCCCCTCTCCACCCCGCCAGAGGCCCCGCCCACCAGGCTATAGTACCGCCCCATCTCCACCTGCCAGAGGCCCCGCCCACAAGGCTATGGCAACGCCCCGCCCAGAGGCCCCGCCCTCCAGAATATAGCACCGCCCCTCTCCGTCCCTCCCTGAGGTCCATTGGCCCCGCCTCCCGCCGCGTAGTTTACGTCCCACTGCGCAGGCGCGAGTTTCGCAGGCTCGCCCCCGGAGGCTCTAAAGTCGAACGGCGCAGGCGCACGGGGCAGTCCGCTCAGAGTGCGCATGCGCTGCGCCTGTACAGTTCCTACGCGGTCTGTAGGCGCCTCCGTGTTTGCGCGCGAAGATGGCTGAGCAGGCACCGAAGTCGGTGCTCTTCGTGTGTCTGGGTGAGACGTGCGGTTCTAGCCCCGGTCCCACTGCCCTGGGGGTTGGGTGGGCCCTGTGCGCTGGGGGCTGCGCGCTGGGCGAGGACGCGGGTCCCGAGGGTGGGCCGGGCGCCCCGCTTCCCCTCCGCGCAGCGCTGCGCCGCGGCCCGGTCTGTCTGCACGGCTCGTCCCCTCGCCTCCCCTTGCCTGTCCTGTCTCCCAGCCTGGTGCTTCCCATGGTCCTGCCGGAACCCCTGTCAGCCCTCGCGGGGAGCCCTGACGCTGTGGGGTGGGGGACCTCCTGCTGCCCCAGACCTAGCACAGCGCGGCCTTAGCTGGTGGTGTCCACGGCCCAGGCCTAGGAGTGAATCTGAGCTGAAGGCAGCGGCACTGCACGGGTTTGGAGTTTCTGTATAAAAACAGGGGAGACCTAATTCCCCAGCTCTCTGCGCAAGCACCCTCCCCTGTACCTTCGCGGGGGCGGGTGACGTTTCTCGCCGCTCGGTGGATGCTAACGAGCACCTTCTCGGTGCGGAGGCGGGGTTACTGCCCGGTGTGCATCGAGGGCGTGGGGCCCGGAGTCTGTGAACTGCCCCTGCTTTGCAGGCCCTCCCTCGCCCATAAAGGGTCCAGCATGACTGGGATCCAGCTGCTTTACTGAAGGACACTGGGATTTGAATTCTGTACCATTTTCTCATGTCACAAGAGGTTCCTCTACTTTTGAGGGTTTTTAGAATGTATTTTAAAATGTAGAAATTATATTTAGCTCCGTGGGTTGTACGCAAAGGTGGTGGTTTTGGTCCATTGCTCCAGGCCTGAGGAGAACTGGGGAAGCCTTCCTTGGAGGATGTGAGCAGCTGTTGTGCTGAGATTAGACACAGGGCGGGGCCGCAAGAGGGACCAGCCGGCTGGGAGGGAGGGAGGGAGGATGGATCGAGCCGATGGGGATGTGGGATGAGAACCCCATCTCACCTGGGATCTGTGCTGGGGACAGTGGGCGCTGTTTCTAAAGCGTACAGATCTCCTTCCTTCAGAGCCTCTACTTGAACCTTTTTCAGACTAAAGTAAAGAGTGTCACATGCTTTTCACTGAATCGAACTTCTTCATTTGGCAAGATTATTAAGTGTTTTTATGTTTTTGTAAGATAGCTGTGCCACAGCCCGCACGGTTGCAGATGATACCATATTCACCATATTCGTGGTGTCAGAGGACTTTTTCTGACAACAACTCAATGTGTGTGTCACACACTGTGCTGAGTGCTGGGGCCTCCCTGGGTGGGACAGATGCAGCGCCTGCCCTTGGAGAATTTAAAATTTTTTTGAGTCTCTTACCTTGAAATGAAGGTATTGAATAAGTACATATCATCCTTTTAATTTGGAAAAAGCAAATTTGAAACTTTGTAGATTGAAATTTTTTTTCTAGCCAAAACCGGTTTGGCTCAGTGGATAGAGCGTCGACCTGCGGACTGAAAGGTCCAGGGTTCGATTCTGGTCAAGGGCACATACATTGGTTGCATGTACATCCCCAGTAGGGAGTGTGCAGGAGGCAACTGGTCGATGATTCTCTCTCATCAATGTTCCTGGCTCTCTATCCCTCTCCCTTTCCCTCTGTAAAAAATCTATTTTATATATATATATATATATATATATATATATATATATATATATATATATAAAATAAATTTTGTCTAGAGGAATCTGAAGATGACATAACTTTCCCAACTTTCCCGAAGGTGGACCTGGAGTGCAGTGTTTTCCCGACAAGCTCTCCCTTACATGACATGTCAGTTTAGTTGAGGGAGGTATAAGCAAGCATCTCGTATCTGTTGCTCTCTTAGGTAGGACTTTGACATCTAATCTTTACAGTAGTGATCTTTTTTCTACCTCCACTTACACAGATACCTGGGGGTAAAGTGGAAAAAGCCCGTTCATCCAGTCGCCTGACTCAAGTGCCCTTTCCAGACGGTGCCCATTAAGGTCCTCTTCAGTCTTTAAAGATCCGCTCTCATCTTCCTTGTTTTCTGATAACCAGTTTTTTTTCTGAGGTTGTTTGTTCTCTTTAGAATTCTTTCCTGTGCTCCCATCACCAGCACTGATTTTTCTGTTTTATTGTAGCTAACTGTATCTGTGAATACATTGAATACACATGATGGAGATAATTTGAGAGACAATTTTTTCTTTTATCTTTTTCCCCTGTGACTGAGAAAAGGGATGGCTTTGTCCTGGCTCCTGGGAGGAGTGTCTGTTCTCAGGGAGCACCCTGCCCTGCATGGGGGACAGAGGCGATAACTCAGCCCTGGGGCGCTGGGTCCAGCCTCAGGCTGATAATCCAGAGGTCATGGCTCCTTAATGAGAACCCAGTGCACCCTTTGCATCCAAGCCTGGCGAGCATCCTGGGCTCACGCTGATGACGGGGGCAATGTGTCCCTGACGCCAGAAAGCTTTCTGCTGGGAACCCTCCCAGGATCTGCTGTATGCTCCTTAACTTTGCCTGGTTCTGCTTTTAACTATTTATTAAAATAAAAGTGCAGTTATAAGTATAGCATTTTCTGGAATGCTAATAAGTCCTCTTAAAGGGTTATTTAACCTGTGGGACTCCCACACTTGTGGACAGCTGTTCTGGGTGAGGGTAGCCCTGGATGTCCCCACGTGGTGCCTAGAAGCCGTGTCTGTGGCTCAGGCCAACTCCTGGGTCCAGCCCTTCAGCAAGGACTCCACACACACACACACACACACACACACACACACACACAGGATGCAATGAAAGTCTGTGCTGACCCTCATGCTTAAGCACATCAGAGTGTCTTTCATGAAATAGTAGTCATCCTTGTTAAGTGCAATATACTTGAAAATGCTTTATTTTTTAGCTGTTGCATTTCATTTTAACATTAATTGGTTACTACCCACTAAGTTGATTTCATGACCCACTTCAGGGTCATTGATAGCAACCTGGAAAACTGACTTTGGTTATGACTGTCTTTCTGATGTCTTTGTCATTGGTGCTCTGAGTGTTTGAACCGTGGGTGTCAGACCCTTGAACTTGGGCTTGGCCAGCTGATGCTCCCAGGTTCTGCCTCCACAGGTAGGGGGATGGCCTCTAAGCAGATGCTCTCCCGGGAAGGCGCGCCCTGGGCAGGTGTGACGAGGCCCGCCCGGCCCTGTGCTGGCAGTCAGCACCTGTCCTCCCTCCAACCTGACCTTCACTTCTGTCCTCCCATTTTTTTTAAGGTAACATCTGTCGATCACCCATTGCTGAGGCCGTTTTCAGGAAACTTGTAACTGATCAAAACATTTCAGATAAGGTAAGAGCTGTTCACTGTCTTAGAGAGGCCGACCTGAATGCCTTTGGGGCAGGAAATGGCGAAAAAATTTTTTTTTCTCCTGCAGTGGAGGATAGACAGTGCAGCGACCTCCACGTACGAAGTAGGAAACCCTCCTGATTATCGAGGGCAGAATTGCATGAAGAAGCATGGTGTTCCCATGAATCACGTTGCCCGGCAGGTACCGTACCTGAACCTGAAGGTTCACGCGTGTGTTTTGTGTTACAGTGGGTCATTGACAGCAGTGCTGTTTCTGCCTGGAACGTGGGCCGGGCACCAGATCCAAGAGCTGTGAGCTGCCTAAGAAATCATGGCATCGACACAGCCCACAGAGCAAGACAGGTAGAAGAGATCTCCCTTAACTTCCATGTCTGTCACGCAGAGGCCCATAGCTTCGGAGGCTGTGAGAGTTTAACCAGACTTCCCTGTTGATGGGGTGTATATTCACGGTCTGTTTGATTGCAGCAGTACACCCATTCCATCTCACTGCTGGTTCCACAGACTTGGGGTCTTGGACTTTACTTAGTGAACAAAATTAGTGACTGATTTGTCCCGAGGAGAGCCTGGGCGGGAACCACTGAGACACTTGCTCCCTTCACAGGGGTGTTGCTGGGGTGCAGTCCTTCGGTCTATACCCAGCGCTTTGATCTGAGAGGCACCTCAGCAGCCTCAGGCCGTGCTGACACTGTGGGTGCACAGCCTGCACGCCAGCACTGGGTGTCTGGATTCAGGTTCCCATTGCTGCCCAGTGGAACCTGTGGTGATGGGGATGGTGCGCTGTGTCTGCCACTCCGGGGAGGCAGGTGACCGCCGCTCACTTGAGGTGATGCCGTGTGGCCCATTTAACTAACGTAATCGCCCCTGGGATTGGTGGACAGCTTACTGGACTGCAGGGTCCTAGGCTCACATACCACGGTGGGAAGCTCCTAGAGAGGTTGGTCCTTCAGAATGTCTCACACCTTACTCAGCAGGAACTGTGATTATTTTATGGAGATTCAGTGGATTTTTAAAAATCTGGCTAAAATCTTCTTCCTTCCTTTTGTAACCAACCTAAGGGAATGTCAGGCCCCGCAGGCCAACAGGACTGCAGGTTAGCATCTGAGGACAGGAGGCCCTGTCCCTAGATGGGCTTTGAGGTCTTTGGGGCAAGGAGCTGAATGCTTTGAAAATCAGTCATCAAATATGTTACATTTCAAAAAGTATGGATGGCAAAGAACTATGAATTAGTTTTAGTGCTTGAATCAGAACTTTAATCCTTGTTATACTAAATCTTGAAAAGCTTTTCAAATTGCTTTGCCACACTGCACTGTAGTTTTAATTTGATCATCACAGTTTTTATCCTCTTCATTGCTCTTAGGGAAGGGAGTAGTTGGTAAACCCATTTTGCAGATCAAGAAAGTGAGTATCGGAGAGAAAATAAACTATTTATCTAAAGTTACCCAGCTTCACATAGAAAGCTGGGATTTCATCATCACTTTAATAAAAACATTAAGGTTGTGAGCTAGAAAATTCACAAAACAGAATTGTCTTAGAAACACTTCTAATATATTAATGATGCCTCACGGCTGATCGATGTTTCTCACACTATCCTTCTCCCTCCCTGTAAAAAAAAAAAATCAATAAAAAATGTATATTTTAAAAAACGATACCTCAGAAATTAGTCAGACATTATTTTTGGCTTAGAGAGGTTTAGGCAGATCTGTGAACACAGTTTCTGGCTGTGTCATATGACTCTGTATTAGCAATTTACTATTTGAATTACCTGTCTTAAGGACCGGACTCTTTCTTAACAGGAATTTTCATTAGACAGAGGAGTGAATTTTCTCATTTGCCCATCAAATCTGGTCAGGCTTTCTCACACTTTGCTCTTAAAGAATGTAGACATATTTTGAGGAGTTCTTCAGAATTATGAGCAATCATACTTTCATATTTTCTATTTTTCACTGAGATCTGATGGTTTTTCATGCATTGTTATATACTAACAGTGGGTACAAAGAATGTATTTTAAATATATATGGTGTTTTGGTTTTTAAGAAATCAAAGCTAGAAATTTTATTTTTTTTTAAATACCAGCAGTTACCAGTTTGAGAAGTAGTATTCCCATATACCCTGTTTTTGCCTTTTTCTTTTCTTGTTATTAAATTTTTTTACTCAAATTTTTAAAACTTTGCTGCTAGTTTAAAAGCTAGTGCTAGTAAATATGTTTTATAAATCAGTGGCACATTAGATCTTTAATTTTAGGATCTCGCTAATGTTTATAGGTTTTCTCTTCAGTCATTATCACCACTTATATGAGAACTATTGTTTTCTGCTGCTTAGAAGGTTCATTTCCCCGGGCGGGTTTAATAAAGAGAATGCTTGTAGATGGTTTTTCTTTGTAATGGGCCCAGGCAGTGCTCCTGAGCAAGTGGAGACTCAGATCCGGTTCGCGCCGTGGAGATGTTTACGTTACTGGACATTCTTTCCTCTTTTCAGTAAACTTCTCTGACCTGAGCACCAGAGTCAGTACGTTTCTTCAGCAAGACCAGGCCTCTGCTCCCCTCCTCCAGAGTCACCGGGAAAGTGGGTCCTGTCTCGGACTCCTGTGGCTCATGCCTGACTCACTGCGCCCCTGTGGCAGGTGGCCCCGTGGCTGGTCTCGTGGTCACGCTGGGCCTGGCACCTGACAGCTGTGCGCAGCTCAGGTCCGACTCTGCTTGACACGGTAGCTCAGTGATGCTCTGCGCTGTGGGTGTGTGTGCGTGTGTTCCAGGGAACACCGGCGTGCGTTCTCTTGGACACACACCCAGAATCAGTGTGACCAGGTTGGATACACCCAGGCTCAGGAATTTTTTGGGGGGATTGTTTGTTTTATTGATGTTGAGCTGTATGAGTTCATCCTGTATTTTGGATAGTAAGCTCTCACTGGATAGATCATGTATAAATACCCTATCATTCAGTAGGTTGCTTTTTTGTTGTTGTTGTTGTTGATGGTTTCCTTTGTGGTACAAAAGCTTTTTAATTCAATGGAATCCCCTGTGTTTACTTTGCCTTTTGTCGTCTTTTCCCTGGAGACATACTGCTGAGACCCATGTCAGAGCGTTCATGGCCTCTGTTTTCTTCTAGGATCTTGTGGCTTTAACTATCTTACAGTGAAAACATTTAGTCCAGTCCATTTTGAGTTTATTCTTGTACCTGCCATCAGAAGGTGGTCTGTTGTCATTGTTGTGCATGAGTCTGTCTCATTTTCCCAGCACCATTTATTGACTCATCTGTCTTTACCCCATTGCATGTTCCTGTCTTCTCTGTCAAATGTTAACTTACCTATAGGCATGGGTTTATTTCTTGGCTCTCAATTCCATTCCATTGATCTATGTCTGTACCATGCTGTTTTAATTACTAAGGTCTTGTAGATAGTTTGAAATCAGGTGGTATGATACCTCCAATTTTGTTCTTTCTCAAGATTGCTGTGGCTATTTAGGGTCTTTTGTGTTCCGTATTAATTTTAGGATTATTTCTTCTAGTTCTGTTAAAAATGCTATTGGTATTTTGTTAGGGGTTGAATCTTTAGATTGCTTTGGGTAATATACACGTTAACAATGTTAATTCTTCCAATCCATGAACATGGAGTATTATTCTGTCTTCTTCAGCAGTGTTTTTTCATTTTCCAAATATCGATACATGTCTTTTACCTCCGTAGTTAAATTCATATATACACTGAGTGGCCAGATTATGATCTCTGAACACATAATCTGGCCACTCGGTGTGTGTGTGTGTGTGTGTGTGTGTGTGTGTGTGTGTTGTTAGCTGTAGGTTTGTCACATATGGCCCTCTTTATGTTCCCTCTATTCCCACTTTGCTGAGTGTTTTTATCATAAATGAGTACTAGATTTTGTCAATAGTTTTTCTGCATCTGTTGATATGACTGTGATTGTTATCTTTCATTTTGTTTATGATGTATCACATTTATTGATTTGTGAATATCACATCAACCTTGCATCCCGGAATAAATCCCACTTGATCACAGGGCATGCTCTTTTTAATGTATTGCTGAATGTGGATTGCAAATGTTTCGTTGAAGATTTTTTTGCCTGTGTTCATTGGGGATATTAGCTTGCATTTTTCTTTTTTAGAAATGTTTCTTTCTGGTTTTGGAATCAGGGTAAGGCTGACCTTGTAAATGAGTTTTTAGGGCCTTCTCTGCTCTTGAAATTTTTGGAATAATTTGAGAAGAATAGGTGATTTGAAGCCATGTCTCGGACTTTTGTTTGTTGGGAGCTTTAGATTACTTTGATTTTGTTACTAGTTTAGATTTTCTGATTTTTTTTCTGACTGAATCTTAGAAAATTGTATGTTCCTAGGAATTTATCCATTTCCTCCAGATTGTCCTATTTGTTGACATATAGTTGTTCATAATATTTTCTTAAAATTCTTGGTATTTCTTTGGTGTAAGTTGCTACTTCTCTCCTTTCCTTTCTGATTGTATTTATTTGGGTCCTCTCTTTTAACCTTGTGTGAGTCTGAATAAACGTTTGTCAATCTTGATTATCTTTTCAAAGAACCAACTCTTGGTTTTATTTCTATTATTTTTTGCCCTCTATTTTTATTCTTTGATCTTTATTATTTTCTTACTTCTATTCACTTTGGGCTTTGTTTGCTCTTTTTTTAGTTCTTTAGGTGTGAGGTTAGGTTGTTACTTGAGATTTTTATTATTTCTTGAGGTAGGCCAGTAATACTATGAATCTCTCTTAGGACTGCTTTCACTGTGTCCCATAGATTTTTGGGTCATTGTGTTTTCATTTTCATTTGTGTGTGTATGCCATCTTGATATGTTAATTGAATTCTGCATTGTTACTAAGAAATTGAAGATGAAGTATAAACTCTTGGTCTACATATTATACTAGTTTATATTTATTCAGGAACTTTATAATATAACTAGAGGCCTGGTACACAAAATTAGTGCACGGGTAGGGTCCCTAGGCCTGGATGGTGATCTGATAGGACCGGCTGCTGGCCAGGGCTTTCCTTCGTTCCGTGCCACCCCCTGATGGTCAGCACACATCATAGTGGGTGGCCAAACTCCCAAGGAGATAATTTGCATATTAGCCTTTTGTTATATAGGATATTTTTTTTGCAATACAATTTTAGGAAATAAGTTAACTCTATTTTCATTTAAAATTACCCTAAATTTAATTTTTGAGTAATAGATTTTAATATAGCAATTTTTTTTTTTTACTGCTCTGTAATCTCTAGGCTTGATTGGTATAAATATAAGTACTATGTTTTTGACTTCTTATGTAATTTCAGGTTACTAAAGAAGACTTTGTCACGTTCGATTATATTCTGTGTATGGATGAGAGCAATCTGAGGTAATCAACTTTCTGAAGGATATTTCTGTTCAGCCCCCACCCCAGTAACAGGCCAAGTAGTTTGCTGTCCAAGTGACTTTTCTAATATCTTAAATTTTTTATTAGATAGTGATGGCCACTGTTTACAGAATTACCTTATTCAGAATAGTAAGGAATTCAGAGAGGAATTTCGAGTTGTCTTATGGGCATATTTACAGAGACACTGCTCAGATGGGGACAGCTGAGTTAGCACCTGTAACTCGGAGGGCAGCTGGCGTGTGGGCAGTTTCTCCCAGCGATGCGGTTCCATGCTTGCGGGGAGTGGCTTTGCTGTGGCTGCAATCGCTCCTGGACAGTGTGGTGTTTTATTGTTTCTTATCTCACTCCCCCCACAACCCCCTTCTATCCCCCACCCCTGTGCAAAAAAAAACTGAGGCTGACAGAAAACATCTTTATTTAAATTGTTGATTGCCTTAATTGGTTTTAAAAAACAACCACCTGAAGCCATAAGGTATTTGATGAAAATGGCTGACCCTGATGTAATGTGTTGTCAGCTCTGGGTGCGAAAGCCGCAACTGGTAGGTGTGCATGTTTGCCCCATCTTAGCGGGGACTCCGTGCACAGGTGCTGAGGGCCCAGGCTCACAAATTCGGTGGGTGTGTCCTCCGCTCGGGAAAGCAGAGTCCTGCCATGTGCCTCACGTGAGCCTGGGTTGCTTTATGGAGATGGTCTGTTAAGACACTAACACGTTGCCGAAACCCATTTTGGCTCAGCGGTAGAGTGTCGGTCTACGGACTGAAAGGTCCCGGGTTCGATTCCGGTCAAGGGCATGTACATTGGTTGCGGGCATATCCCCGGTAGGGGGTGTGCAAAAGACAGCTGGTCGATGTTTCTCTCTCATCAATGTTTCTAGCTCTCTCTCTCTCTCCCTTCCTCTCTGTAAAAAATCAATAAAATATATATTTTTTAAAAAGACACTACCATGCCCCATGACAGCTCCATGCTCAGGCGAGATGTGTTGCCATGTAGCCCAGCGAAGTCGATTTTCCTCCTGAAGCAGTTGAGGGCTAAGGGGGGGTGCCAAGTTCTGTCCCAGCTCAGGCGCAGCCCAGGCCCAGGAGTGAGCAGTGAGGCCAAGACCCCCGAGGGAGCAGTGAGGCTGACAGGGACCCAGCATCTCGGGGGCTGACAGCACTCAGGGCTTAGCTCCCATGGCCTTTTGAGGTCCACAGATGTCTCTGTTTAATCCCTGAGGCAGGTGTCTGATGGAATTCACAGGGAGTCCTGGGCTGTGCTCGGATTTGAGGATGAGATTTGGTGTGAAAGGTCCGGGGACAGTGCTGCTGTGCCGCTGACAGACGGCTGCCTGAGGTTGTGGTCCCATGCCTAACGAGCTGTGCTGATCAGGCTGCCGCTGCTGGTGTTCCATAAAACCCTGGCTCATGTCCCTGCTTAACCAGAGACCACTGGTCAGAAAACTAAGTTACCGCTTCAATTTTACAGAGATTTGACTCGAAAAAGTCATCAAGTCAATAACAGCAAAGCTAAAATTGAACTACTTGGGAGCTACGATCCTCAGAAACAGCTCATTATTGAAGACCCCTATTACGTGAGTATGGACCTTGCCCACACGGGGCCAGTGTGAGGACCACCAGCTTTGTGTCCAGCCACACAAGTGACATGCTGAGGTTCTCGAGCATTTTTGTTTCCCAGGTTTAGTTATTTGTCTTTCCTCCTAGGGAAATGAGTCCGACTTTGAGACCGTGTACCAGCAGTGTCTGAGGTGCTGCAGGGCCTTCCTGGAGAAGGCCCACTAGTGCGTCCGTCCCTGCGCCTGCTGGTGCCCGGCCCCGCGTCCCAGCCGAGGGCCACGTCCGTAGCTCAAGGCCAGTGCTGGTACTTCCGTCCACTTGCTGTTTCTTACTTTAAAAATAATTGTAGATGGAAATCAGTGGTTCTGTTTGCAAAAGAATAAATACCTTTGACTCAGACAGTTTATGGGGCACATGAAGTGTTCTTACACCAGTGGGGCCTCCCACTTGGCTCCCGTTACAGATGGTCTAGTAGAACAACCTAATCCCTCTGTCAGCATGTGAGCCTCATAAGTCACCTGCCCTCCCTCTTCCCCGAGTCTGGACGACAAGAAGGAGCGCCCTGTCCCGGCACTCCCCTCCTGGGCAGCAGGCCCTCCCGAGGGCTCCAGCCGAGGAGGGTGTCCGTTCACACTTGTAGGAAAGAGGCTCATGGAACAGCGATCCTTCCTAGTTTCTGTCTGGCTTGTAGCATAAGGGAGTCCGCTTATTTGTCCCATTTGAGCCACAGTCACATCCAGAAAGGACACTTGTCAGCTGCTTTATCTGTGGTTGGTAAGAGTTGGAAAAATTTTATGTTGGCATGCTTAAATATTGATGTGGTGATACGTATTCTTCAGTGCTTAATTTATAGGTAATTTCTATGTTCTTTCAGATAACTAATCTAAAATTCATATGGCTACATGTTAGAGAAGACTTCAAAATAAACTGGGGAAGTTATAAAAATACAACTAAGATGTAAGTCTGCTGTCTGCCTGCTTTTTTATTGACAAGTGAAGAATCGGAAAGGATGCTCTGATTCTCCCTTCCACATGGTCTGTGATGCCATAGACAGTTACCTCCGGTGTTAGGAAGGACAAGGGTGAAAATGACAGTTATGTCTGTTGGTGGAAGAAGTTCAAGGCGCCTGCAGCCCGAGTGTCCTCGCCTGACCCTTTGAGTGGCTGTTATGGTTCCCTGGGCAGCAGTTCACTTTGTCCACGCACTCCGAGCTCTGTCTCCGTCACAGGGCAGTCCCCCACCAGAGTCTGGGGTCGCTTCCTGGAGGAGGAATAGAGGAAGGCTGCCTGCTTCTCCTGGGTGTTGAGAGCCTTCTGTCGGCAGCGTCATGAGGGTCCCAGGCCAGGTGCTTTGTCCTGAACCCCCTTGTGCCTGAGGATGAGCAGGTGGTTGTCCCACCATGCACCAGGGTTGCAGAGGCTGGGAGAGGGGAGGCCAGGGCAGGAGACGGCGGGATTCCTCTCGAGTCACCATGAAAGCTCTTCCTAGGCCATCCAGGCCCTTGAGAGGGTAGACTGAGAGTTTGATAAGACGCCTAAAAAGTGAAGACTGGAGAAGTTCTATAATTAACCAGTGAGAACTTACGATTAAGCGAGCACGTCAAACAATGTGCTGTCTTCCAGAAATCGCTTCCGAAGCTGGAAGCAGAGCTTCCTTTCCCTCTCCTGTCCCTCGATGTTCACAGTGCCTATCGTTTGTTTTTAATGTTTAACATCAGTTTCAGGTGTGGTCCTCAAACCCCAGGACTTTCCACACCGTTGTCCCTAGACCGGGGTTCGTAAAGAGAAATTCCCCCAAGTTCACTTGTCTTTTTAAATTGAGCCAGTCAGATTTGTGCCTATAAAAACCTGGAGCTGCTTGGCAATCAAGGTTCCTATAGGGCAGTGCTCCATGCTTAGTCACACGGGAGCTACAGGTGCAGCGGACATTGAAACGTTCACTGTAACTATGATAACTGTGGATTACAAAAATGCACAGCCTTCTCGTTTTGCTTGTTTATGCCTTTTATGTCTCTGGCATGCAGCCAATATCGATTTGTACACCGTCATTCCCAGCGATGGGATGTGTTAGAAAGTAAAAGTCACTTCTAAGATTTTATTATAACAAACACTTTATTACTAGCCTTATTTACAGTATGTACATACTGCACAGTAGGCAGATCCTATCTTACATTTATCACACAAAGGGCAGGTGAATCGCTGTGCACACGATTACACATCACTGTCTCCAAAGCATGGCTGAAGTCATCTTTTTAAAAAAAATTTTCATGCAATTCCAAATAATATCTGGGAATTTAATTGTAAAAGTAACAAAAATATTAAATCATACCATATGCTATATGAAAATATAGTTTCAAATCTATATTTGAAATCTAAAGAAATACTCTGTGATTTCACCCAATCAGGAGAGTGAGGTGCCTCTGTCCATGCGCATACCGGCAAGTGCATACTCGCTTCCTAAGGGAAAGGCGGGCTCACTGTCAGGTGCCGCAAACAGTGTCAACATACGAAACTGAAGGAATCACGGGAGTCTGCAAAAATAACTCTTGTTCGGGACGTGTGTGTGAAGGTAGTAGGTTCTGTGTCCCTGTTGGTCTCCAAGGCACTTCTCTGGTTTCCCTTGTGTTCCGCTCGCTGCTGAAACAAACATGGGGCTGTCACTCTTGTTACCGGCCCCAGAAGACCTATACTCTAAGTCATGTAACATGACATCTGTAAACATGAGGAATCTGTGAACACACAGTTCTCTGCCCCTCACGTGGGAGCTAACTTAGCTACGGTGACTGCCCACCTACCAGCTGAAGGACTGCCGAGAACACAGTGGATGTCTGGTCCTACCATCACTGTAAGGTCCTCAGAGCTCAGGGGGCATCCTGGGCAAGACTGAGTGGCCCGGACCTCAGTGTGAGCATCTACAAGGCTACCAAGAAGCAGCACTTGACCTCCACTTGGTCCTGAGCCACCGGCATAGCATCATTTTAGGGATGATGACAAGGCAGCGTTACTGGGCCAGGTATTCCAGGTCTGGTGCCTGGTGTGAGTGCGTGCCGATTGAAGGAGTGAGCAGGTGTGACTTCATATGTGCACCCTACTGTGCACACTGACTCGTGTGCTGAAATAGCTTCACATAAACACTGCGCCAACCATGGCATCACATGAGTACTTGATGGGTGGCCTGGGACTGGGCCAGGATGGGCACCTTTTACTGATATTCTGAGTGTTATGTCAGCTTAAAGGCAGGCTACCCTGGCAAAAATGAGTGTTCCTGAAGCCCCATGACTTGTTTCCAGGCCCCAGCTGAGTGTGTGGAGCTTACCTCATCCGTCCATGCACATGGGGCTCACAGCCAGCCGGGTCAGCAGCCGGGCACACCTCTTGTAGTCTGAGTGGAGAGAAATCCCGGATCTATCAGTCCCCAGGCAGCCCCAGTGAATGGCATTTACAACAACCACACAACTGCTAAGGCCATTGAACTCCCTTAAGTCTCCTGAGTTCCCTGGGAGCAATGGACCCCCTCACTGCAGCCATGGGCCCCTAGCTGTGATGTAATAACTCAGCGTCCGGTGGCAGAGGGGAGGTGATGTAACCAGGAGGCTGTGTGGAGCTCCTGGGAATAATCAGTTTCACTCACTCCCTAGCAGATGGCTTCCTGTGCTGTTGTTACTTAACGTTTAGATCCTGTGCAGACTGAGTCCCCTCGACTTCATAGCACAGTGCCTCATGAAATTCTAGAGAAAGTGGGTCACATTAGGTAGCAGAGCACAAATACCCAGGTAGAGTGCGGCCGTCGGCAAATCAGGTGCAGACTAAAGCACTGGTCCCTCCCACTGCCCTGTCATCCCTAACTCAGGTGCTGCCTCCCTCCCCCCAGCAGCCAGCCGGACCCTGCACAGGTGCTGCAAAGCTGCCTCGGTTTGTAAAGACGGCTGCTCAAGCTACAGAGTTCCACTAGACGTGGGGAGAGGCTACTCCTAACTGGAAACCAAAGGAATGAATCAAGGACAACACGTCACACCAGCAGGTAACTCAGACCCCAAAGGTGCCCTGAGAAGCCAGAGGAGGTGGTAACTGGGTTCGGAGGACAGGATGGTCTATGTGGAGGCTGGGCCTTCGGTTCCTGGAGACTCCCACCAGCAGTAGTTTTTACAGGCAGTTCTATCATCACCTGTGCATGCGTTTCCACTTCATCCACATCCAACCTGTGTGTCCACCCCAGACCTTATTGAGGCGCAGACTGCCCTGGTCTGGGTAGGACCTGACGCCCTCCCATCCGGGAGCTTTGGGACCAGGACACACCAAGGACAGAGGCCTCAGTCCCTCAGCACAACTTCCCAGGTGCCCAGAGCAGCGGGATGTGGTCCAGCTGCAGGCGCTGGCTGGGAGTGGACCCAGGTAGGGACCCTTAGGCAGTGCATAGGTGTGTGGCCTCCCACCTCCGACACCCGGGAGAGCGAGGTTGGGTCTGACTGACAGGCCTCTGCCTGTAGGGGACCAGGAGCCGTGGTGGCTGCGGTGACGCCCAGTGAAGGGTCTGCAGTGACTGTGTGGTCTGTGCACAAGCAGCCCAAGTGTGGGGCCTCTTTCCTCATCCCAATTGGAAGGATAGAAATAATGGCCCAAAGGCCACTTTCAACTTTAGGTCTTTGGTCCTGCTACTGTGAGGCAGCCTTTAACATAAAAGTAGGCACACACTTAAACAATAAAGGGAGGGCCTCTGGTTAATAATTCTCAAACAGCAGGTGACTGTCTCAGAGGAAGGAAATGCAGGGGTGAGGTGTACCAGACCATATGGCAGGGTGTGAGGTGTGCTGTTTGCCTGGGGGTCACCCCGTCAGCTGCAGGAGCTGGGGTGCTCTCGGCCTCCTGGGGGTTTTGTGAATGTGTCTGAACAAGGAGCTCCTTAAGTGACACCTGTTGTATTCAGATAACTGCTGCCTAGCTGGAAAAACTCACTTCCTGTCACGTGCTTATTTTTTTAAGGCAGGACAGGCAGGTCTCTGCCCCTGGTCACCCTGAAAGCAGCTGGTAAGATATGGGGTATCTGCGAACTCCTGCCCTGCTTCCCCAGCCGATGAAAGCTACACTCCCTCCAAAGAAAACGGCTTCGGGCTCTAGTGCATGTCCTTCTACCTAATAGTGACTGCTTTGTGGACAGCACAGGAGCCACTGTGGGGAGATGAAGTGCCTGCTGTCCCAGATAAATACCAGCATGCACAACAGCTCGAGACCGGGAAGGGCAGGCCTGCGTGTCTGAGTTAGTGACAAAGCCATCGGGAGAGCAGTTTTTTGAAACGGCAGTTTACTCCTGGGTGACGAGGGTACCGCTGCCCAGGGAAGCAGGCATATCACCTCTTCTCACCCAGTGCACAGTAGGCACTTTAGTTACTCCTAATATTTGTTTGGTTGGCACGGCTGTGTTGATGAAAATCCATGAGCAGAATGAGCGGTACCCATTCAAACCCTTGGTGAACTGCAGAGAATGTCACCAGCTTCCAGCTTGGCCCTGACCGCTGAGGGAACAGTATTAGGAGGCAGGCCAATCGGGGAGGGCATGGAAACCCCCCTCATCCTACCCCCGCGGCCCCAGCAGCTTGGCTGCCACTCACATGCCGGGACGGTGCAGTCTCTGGTGTTGTGGTAAAGCCTGTGGAAGTGTTTGCTGCACTTGGGGCTGAAGTAGAGAGGACCTGGGATGGAAGGAGAGAGGGTGTAAGGCTCCTGGGTACCAGGACGGGCACAGGAGGGGTGGGGAGGAAACCTACCTGTGAGATGCTTTAAAAACTTGTCCTTCATCCTTAGATCTCGAGGAACGATTTCTGTTGGAGGGGAAATAAGTTGGTTATTGTGTTGCCTGAAAGAAGCATCTCTCGAGTGACCTGACACTAATGCTGAAGGAACTTACCGGAATGTCTGCATCACCCGTCACCTGACCAAACAAAACAGGCCTGAGCTTCCTGCTATGTTCACATGTTCACATGCTACATGTGAACACCTGGCATCACGTTTCTCTAAACAGCATTTACCACCCACACGGCTCAGTGTCACCTGCCTGGTCACCACAGGACGGGGTGTGACCGTCAAGTTATAAGGGGAGAAAATCAAGTGATTTTGAGATTTAGCTTCCAGTGAATAAGTCACTTTCAGGCATGCTCATCTTGAAGAGCTTAGGAATCAATTCTCCACAACCTCCCCAAGTCCTAGAAAGAAATCCTCATCCTTCAAACAAAAAGGGGACGTTAGAATTTTGCTTTTTTTAGAATATATTTAGAGAACGGATGAAATGCCTTCAAATCACCTGTTTAAAAGCTGCGCACATGCACGGTTTATCTGGGAAAGCAGGATGTGAGCCTGGTTTCTGAGATAAAAGAATTCCTGGGGACCGATACTGGTTTGGCTCAGTGGATAGAGCATCGGCCTGAGGACTGAAAGGTCCCAGGCACATCCCCAGTAGGGGGTGTGCAAGAGGCAGCTTATCGATGATTCTCATTGATGTTTTTAACTTTCTATCCCTCTCTCTTCCTCTCTGTAAAAAAATCAGTAAAATATATATATATATATATATATATATATATATATATATATATATATATATATATATATATTTTTTTTTTTTTTTTTTTTTTTTAAATAAGAATTCCTGGGGAAGCCCCCTTCCAGCCGGCCCACAGGCTGCTGGCACTGGTTCCTGGCCCAGCCTATGGCTGCTCTCAGGCATGCACCTGCGCTCACCTGTCCTGCACTGGTCAGGGCTGATCACGGGTCCCCCTTTATTTCAGCAGGAATGTGGGCCACACGGGGCTCAGACAGCCTCCGTCAGTCTTCATTGGCTCCCAACCTGAGCCAGGCTAGCACTGACCTTTCGCGTTTGACCTAATTGTGTCAGGGGAGCGTGCAAGCCGCCTGCTTCCTGGGAACCCTCCCGGGCAGGTGCTCTGTGGGCTCTGGCGGGGGCTGCTGGGCCATTTCCTCTGTTAAAATCGCTGGAAACGTCTCTTTCCAAAACGAGAGGCCGGTCTGGGCGGAAATCACCGCCTAGGTGACAACCCGCGTGGGAAGTGGGCTGTGGATGGTTGTCCGAGAGGCACCGTGCACGGGCTCCCTACTTTCTTATTTTAACAATCGACACGCATTTGCCTTTCTAAAACGCGTTTTCCCCAAGACCCTTCCGCTGGAGCCGCACCGTCTCCGTCTGCCGCTCGCACTCACCCGCGCGCTGCTCCTCCGGGTCCAGCGCGTAGTCGGCGGCCTCCCTGCGGCCGGGAGCGGCGTCCCGCGAGCCCGGGGGCTGCAGGCGCTTGGCCTCCCCCGCGTGGAACCTCTTCAGCTCCTGCATGATCTCCAGCAGCAGCCGCAGCAGCGTCTGCCGGTCCTCCCCGCGGGGCTCGGGGCCGCCCCGGCTGGGCCCCGCCGCGCCCAGCAGCAGCAGCAGCGCCAGGAGGAGAGGGCGCCCGGGCCCGCGCATCGTGCGCTCCGCGGCGGAGGTCCGTGCGCCCGGCTCGCCGGCGGGAGGGAAGGGCTGTGGGGGGATCGGGAGAAAGTCGGGGGGCTGGCGGCTCCAGGAGAGGCCGCCACCAGGACTCCTCGAACCCCACGGACCCGCGCCCCGCACTGTCCGGGCCCCGCGGGCGGAGGAGGGTCCGGCGGCGGGCGCGGGCGGAGGTCTCCCAGGAGCTCAGACCGAGGTCCACCCGCGGGGATGAGAGACCAGGGCCTCCTCCGAGCGCCCGCCCCGGCCGGGGCCCCGCGGAACTTGCCCGGCGGCGCCTCCGCACGAGAGCTCGGACGTCGCCAAACTTTCTTCCTCTTCGGGCCGCGCTGGGGGGTCCGCCGCGCCCGTCCCTCCGGGTGGCGCTGTGCCGTCCCCGCCTTTGTGCGGCAGGCGCCCCCACCCCAGGCCCCCAACCCCCCGACCCCGACCTCCGCCCGCCAGGACCTCGCTGCGTCCCCCCGACCAGGACCCTGGGCGCTGGGCGACGCCGGCCCGGACCTTCCCGGGACCGCTGCCCGGAGCCGGCCGCCTACCTGCGGGGCCGCCGGTGCTCGCGGCGATGCCGAGGTTCGCCGCTCCTCCTACTCCATGCCCGGCCCGGCCGGGAGCGCAGCACCGGGACCGCACGCGCCCTGCCCGCTCGGCGCTGCCCCGCGGCTCGGACCCGGCGCTCTTATCCCCGCGCCGCGACGTCAGGCCAGTCCCAGGGCTCCGCGCTTTAATTAGAAGCCGGCGGAGCGCGTCCCCCCGCGGATCTTCGTCAGACACCCCACGCCCACCTCCCCCCCCCCCCAGCCCCCACGTCCTCCCCGCCCTCCATCCTCCCCCCATCCTCTCCTCCCTCCCCCCCCCCCCCCCCCCCAGTCTATGTACCTCTGTTCCTGTCACTGCGAGCGGAGGGACCGCCTCTACCAGGAACTGGATCTGTTTTTGTCTCAATGTGGATCTCTGGGCGATTCAAAGAGGAGCTGATTGCCTGACATTTAATAAGTCAATTAGCGTCTGTGGGTTTGGAGGGGTCGGTCTGGGGGGGATGTGGGCCGGGGGCGGGGGCTGCGGGGCAGGGGACTCGGGGCGCACAGTTGCCCGCACCCCCTCCCCCCGGAGTCCCCTCGGACCGGACCCTGGGGGGGGCGCCCTCCGGGGACACGCCCGCAGGAGCCCCCCTTCCCCTCCCCGCGCAGCCGCGTCTCCCCGAAGTTTTGGGTCTGAAGATGCGGGCGGACTCCGGGGGAGGTCAGCCACGTGCCGCTTCCCTTTTTCCTGTAAAACGTGGCCCGGCCGCTATTCCCATTCCCTGGCGCTTTCTGGGCAGGAGCGGCCGCCCTCCCGGTCCGATGGGAGGCGCGCGGCCCCCCGGGGCCGGGCTCCGGCTGAGGCCCCCCGGACCGGGCGGCGGGGGGCACTGGAAGGGGAGGGGGTGGACCGGGGGCAGGCGGGGTCGTCACCTCCTCCCCGCTTCCCCCTCTGAGACCCGGCAGGGCCAGGGCCCCCGGCCTCCCTCTGCCCGTGTCTCCCCGTCTCCGTCCCTCCGAGGCCGTTTCTGAGTCAGAGTTGGGCCGGAGGGTGGGCCGTGGGGGGCGAGGGAGGAAGCAGCCCTGACCCTCCCCGATGCGCCGTGAGCGCTAACGCTGCTCCTGGAAAGCAAATGTCTGATTTCCCGGAGCGTTTCTTTCCCAGCGACAGACCGAGAGGGGACCGTTCCTCCAGGGCGTATCAAGAAAAAGTAAAAATTCCCATCAGACCGATCTTAGGAGATAGGACGAATGCTTTTCCCTTCCCAGAGCCTCTGGGGGGGTAAGACCTGTAGGGGCCTCTTTGCAGAGCGCCGCCTAGTGACCGGCCTCACCGCCCTCCCACCCCACCACCCCCTCCACCCCCCCTCCAGTCCCCATAGCCCCTCTCCACCCCCGTCACCCCCTTCGACCCCTATCATCCCCCTCCACCCCTATCACCCCTCCCCCATCACCCCTCCCCCTTCCATCCCCCATCACCCCCCTCCACCCCATCACCCCTTCTACCCCTATCACCCCCCTCCACCCCCATTACCCCCTCCACCCCTCACCACCCTGGGGTGAGCATTCAGCATCCCTAGGTAGCTGGGCTATAGGGGGGCGGGGGCGAATGGCTCCAGCCAGTCGAGTTTCTATTGTAAAGTATTTTTGTGTAAAACTGTTTTTAGGGGAATTATTGCTGCAGCGAAAAATAAATTATCCCAAATTAATTATTGTAAATTTACATGCAATATTTTCTTTTAAATAGTATTCGACACAATCAAAAGCCACTTTTCCCCCCTAAAATATCCCGGTAAGAATGATCTCCCCTCGCTGGTGGTTCATAGGACCCTCTCCCTGTGCGCAGTTTATGAGGGGTCGAGCCTGGTCCTGGGGCTCCGCCCAGGGCTGTGGGTGCCATGTGCATGGGCGTCAGCGACACGCCGGGCGCTGTGCTGGGGCTTAGTCCACGGAATCTGCGAGCAGGACCAGACCATCTTGTGTAAAGTCACTCATTTCCATAGAGCTCTGTGCTGAGTGTCCTTCCTTTTGTAGAAATCATTTTTATAGACTTTTCTACTTAATAAGGAGTGCACTGATTAAGAATCTCCACCAAGCCTCTCCACACAGGGTGCTGCCAGGGTGGCTCCTGGGAGCCCTCCAGTCAGCTGAGCGATGGGTATTGTTCCCACAGCTGATTGGTTAAATTGTGGCTTAGACGAAAATTTACCCCATCATGTACTCTCCACTTCCTTTTGTGCGTGGACGGGGCTGTCTGTGAAGTCTAAAGCTATGTACTTCTGTGATTGTCACCAAAACAACAAAGCACAATGTTCCCACAAAAAGCTGGAGCGAGTGAGTCACTTGAAGCAATCACCATGAATCTCACCATCTATTTTCAGGCAACAAGAGGTAATATATTTATATTAAATAATTTCATTTCCTTCTTTAGCAAGTGAACAATTTTCTACTATGAAGGCTCCAAAAAAGATGAGAGAAAATTAAGCAATCGATTATATTTTAACATTATTGCCAAAAAATAACTAATAACTTATTTTGCTAGATATGACTTAGCTTTGCTGTCTTTTGAGAAAACTATATGGGATCAAGGAAGGAAAACTCAGCAGAGAGAGGAAAGTTGTGTTTAATCTACTGTTGATCTGTGTTGTGAGATGGGAAAGGGTTTTTGATGTGTTTTTTTTCTTTCTTTCAGTTTATAAACAGTACAAAGCTCTAATGTTTTAACTACAAATCACTTTCTCTTTTCCATAAGGTATCTATTTTATTTGAGATGAATATTAACTACCCCCAAAGATTCTAAAATAGATGCATATTCTCTACATGTTTGATTCATTACATTTGTTCATCCACTCTGCTCCTTGCCGATGTAAGTAAACTCTTACTGGCGAGAACAGTTACCTTTCATAAAGGGAGACATTCTGCGCTACCCAGAAATATTGTTTAATGTTTAACTTGTATCGGTTACGTATTTCCACCATTAATACGTTACTAGTATGTTAGGAATGTGCTAACATCTGTGCGAGCATCGGGGAAGGCAGCTCCCGCATCCCGGTGTCCGCGGAGCCACTACACGTTCGGCCCGTGGTCTGTTCTGGTTCAAGGAGACACAGCCCCAGCCGGGGCTTCCCACAGACACAGCCAGCACCGCCGAGCTCTGGGTGCCCGCCCTCCCGTGCTCGGGAGAGGCCTGGGGGGCGTGGACTTGGCGCTCCTCGTGGAGCCTGGTTCGTCATAAAATCCTCCTGAGAACATGCCGACGGAGCGGTGACCCTTCTCTGCCCCCCCCCAGGCCACCTCTGACGCCACCCGGACGCGAAAGACAGTGTCTGTGCCCCACCTCTTGTTCTGAGGGCACCCCCATGCACGCTGGGGAACAACACCGGTGTGTCTGCAGGCCATGTGTGTGCTGGACTGCTCCTCAGGAGGTCATTCCAGCGGAGCTTGTTTCCGTCGAGAACAGTCCCCGCGCAGCCGACAGCCTTTCCCTCTGACCCCGTGCGGCCAGTCACACGGAGAACCTGTGGGTATGAGCAGTTCACACCGTCAACATCTTGGGAGACTGTGCGGTGAACGTTTTCATGGTTGTGTTTTGCTTTTGTGGCTGCTTATCACTATCGTTGGAAGCATACGTGTAAAGTAGGTGTACACACACGTGTGCACACGCAGGGAGGCAGGTCCATGGCTCCAGCTCGTTAGGCCCAGCACCTCCTTCACTCATTGGCCATCGCCTCTCGGTCACGAGCCGCCCCGGACTGAGGGTCTGTTTTTCTGGTTCTCAGTGTGTTCCCGGTGGCATGTTCCTGGTGGCGTGTTCTCGGCAGTGTGTCCGTGGGGGATCCTCCCTGGGCCCTGTGCCAGGTCTGCAGGGTCTCGGTCTGCCCTGCAGGACTCGGGGTCATGGTGGGGCGTGCTGCGGGTTCTGTTTCCTCTCCACCCTCTGGGAGGGACTTCCCACCTGAACCTGCCGTTTAGGGCAGCAGCGTGCAGGTGGGGATTCCGTGGGGCAGGGAAGAGGAACGTGTGGTGCTAGTTGATCAGCAGAGGATGCTGTGCTGAGGCCGCTACGTACACACTCATAGTCCTAGGAATGAGCAGGAACGTATGGTGTGGTTTACAGTTATGGGTGAGCTACAGGGAAACCACGGGGATATTAGGGTCCCAGACCTCAAGGATCTGATCTTGGTGGAGACCATCAGTCTGGGGTGACTTCTAGGGGCCGGGCCTGGGGCTGGTAGCCGACACCTCTCTCTTCTCTCTCTCTCTCTCCTCCCATCCCCCCCCCCCCCCCCCCCGTGATGAGGCCTCCCCCTGCGGGCCGGGAAGCCGGGGAAGGGCTGGGGGTGGTCTATATTTAGCCTGAGCGGCAGGCACATCTGGAGCGCCTGGCGGTCAGCAGGAGAGACTCGGCAGCTGCGGGGCCTGTACTTGCCTCCCCCTGATTGACCCACCATACACCCT